GCCATCAAAATTGTGTAACGCCGGCCCTGCAGCTTGTAAAGTTTCTGGGTTTAATTCTGATGGTTTTTCATCGATATAATGCTTGTTTCGTGAAGATTGGCTAATGGCTAGTAATTTATTTCCATCATGCGAAGATACTGCACCAGAACGAAACATTTTGTATTCATTTTTAAATTTTCTAATGATATAGGTAGTGAGTGGTACCATTATTAAAGCCGGCAGCAGTTGTTCGATAACTCTTGTCCTACGAAATTCAATTAGACGCTATCAGGTGACAGTAAGGCTAAATCTTTTAAAATATCTTGAGCGATGAGCCCCTCTGAATAGTGATGTGTTATGAAACCGTGGTTTCAATCACAAATAAATTAACGCTCGATAAAATATTAATTATATAGATTTTATTACTGGTTATTTTATCACTAATTTTACAAGAAATAATAAAGGCTCTTACTAGACATACGTTAGTATTAATGCTTTGTTTGTAAATACTATACTGACTAACCTCCTCCTTGTGTGTCGGCCTGCGACCCAGCCGGACGCCGAATCGCCTAGTCAGCGGATTCCTGCACTGCTAATATTATAATATCATGTGACAACATAATATTATATTATATTATTTAGGAGTTCACGACAGATGTAAATTATGGTATTTTATCCATGACCATAAAATATGCGTTTATTTTATATTTTTCAAATACTAAATAGTTAATTTAAATTTTCTTCTTTTGTATTTTTATCAATTTGCCTCTTCCGTTTTTTCGATAATATGATAGTTTTAATTTGATTTGTATACACTATACAGATTGTATATTGTTTTTCTTAATAAAAAAAAAAATTGTTTTAAAGTCCTTTTCAGACCCTTTTCGTTTGGCTTCGCCTATAATTTGCTCATATTTGATGTCAGAACGCATAAACAGTAAGCGATAGAAAGTGAAATTAGAGACAATTATTTAAGTGTACCAGAAGATATTGTTGATACTTCTAAGCTCAATTATCTAAAMAATTTTAATTTTAATTTTAACGATTATATTAATTAATCACTCTTATTGGTTATTGTAATTTTTTTTACTCGTTAGTCAGTTTTTAGTTTTATTTTATATTTTTTAATATGCTTAATTTTTATTCAATAACCTATATAGAAATACAGAGTTAGACTTTGTTATATATTTCAATATAAGTACCATGTTAAAATAATTTCTGTCAGTGAAGAAAATATAAAATACCTAGGTAGGTATTTAATAAAAGTGTTGTTATTAATTACGTAATGCTAAAATATTATTATTATGTATTTGCTAATAAAATATGGCAATCTGGTTTTAAGTCTGGGACCTCGCGTTAATAAGTTACACAGCGCCTCGCAAATTATAGTGCCGACACAGTCACAGACTTATTTTAGTTAATTATTACAGCATTATAGTAGTCATAGTACTATATAATTATTATTTACAGAGGTATAGCCGTATGGGTACCTGGGTTGTTTACACGAATTACAACGGAGACTTTTATTTTTAACATGAAATCGGTTCCACATTAAAAATAAGACCCGGTGGCCGGTGGACTTGGACGGGGGCCGACCTACTGGTCATCTCTAAGGCCCGGGTGCAGCCCCAGCTACCTCCCTCACGTCGGCCCTATAAGACACCCTCCACCGGCTCCACCGACCCATTAACATTTCTATAAATCAAGTGATTGATGTTGTAATGCTATACTTCTTATATTATAATGTATTATATAGCAAGCTATGTTTATTTGTTTATACTTTGTTATATTACTTTTACTAGACTCATATTGACATATTATATTATTATGTGTTAGGTCAATAAATAATGAAGACACACACGATTTTATATACGTCTAAAACAATTCAAATATATACCTCCTTAGGTAGTGGCGTGCCGCCACTGATTCCATTTATCGATTGTAATTTTATTAGAATTCCACCAAAAACCAAAATCGATTTTGTCAAAAAAAATTTTCTAAAAATGCTCGATTTTTTTTCCCCGGCACTTTTGAACACTGCAACAAATTTTAAATGTTTACTTCCTCAATCCATTAACTTTTTTTGGTGCATCGCCACATGGTGGCCGTACTGTTTTCAAATGACGTAGCCCTTTTTTAACTAGCTTTTTTTCCCAACAAATACAATTTTATTGACATTTACAGAAAAAAAAAACTAGGAAAAATGAATACTGAAAATTTCAATAAATAGCTCAAAACAATTCAAAATATTATGAAAATKTTATCAAGTATAAGAAATGATAAAATATATATTTGGTGTATATTCAAGTATCTATTATAGTTTTTCGTATTTGGATTACAAAAGAATAGGAAAATTGTTCCAAAGAATTATCTAATGTTGTAAAAATTTAATTTGACTTTCCAGTAGACATTTTGTCATTGATTAAGATAAGAACACTTYGAAGTCTTGTATTTATWAGCGGATAAATAGATTTTTAGTTTTTCTGATGCAATACACAATATAACTTATTAATAATTAACAAATTGTATGTAATTTTTTTTTTAACAATTAATAAATATGTTAGTTTTATTCATTTTTTTATATATTAAAAACAAATCTAATATTGTTTTGGTGTGATTGTTGCTGGAGGAGTGTAGGRAAAAAAACCTTCAACAATAATGTAATGGTTAATTTTGTGTGGATTTCTCTTTCATCAAACATCTTCTGAGTCTTTCAAGCACTGCTTATACCTTCTACCTTTCTTCAATTGCAATTAGTATCAATTGTACTAAATACAAAAAAGGTATAATAAACCACACACTTTGCATAAAACAAATTCCCGATATTTTGTTTTAAGCTCTATATTATTGTCAGGGTTTAAAATAAACAATTATACACTATACATGTGACAATGAAATACAAATACAAATTTGTGAATAATCAATACTTTTTACTCAGTTCACAGCAAAATACTTACAAATGCTACAATTACCAATATGATTATTTTATTTTTTAAGTGACTTAATTTATAAATCTAAAYTTAAATTAATAAAATAAATTAATAACTTAATAACTACAACTCAGTCTTAGTAATTATTATATAGTATTTTTTATTAGCTGTCTTTAAAAAAACAGATTAAAATTTTTAGTTAATTGAATACTTAAATACTTGTAAATACTTATATTATAACATGTTATATTATATTATATATATATAGTTCCTAAACTTTTAAAAATGAATATAAGATAATTGTTAGTTGACTAACTAATAAGAAAAGAGAAAACAGTAATATCACAGAGTATATAATAATCACTTTTTTTTAAGGCAAGTGATACCATCAGTATCATATTAAAAGTTGACTTCAAGATCATAGATAAATGTTTTCAACTCTGCTATAAATGAAAATGGATTAGGAGAATCTATCCGTTTATTTTCAAATTCTGCCACAATTTGTTCAAGTTCTTTTTTCTTAGAAGCTTCAATTTCTAAATGGGCAATATACTTAATAGGCGATTCAGGTTCAATTAAATTAAATTTTTCTATCTCTGTTTTAAGATTTTGATAAAATTGGTATACCTCCGCTTTACATTTTTCTCTTTCCATAACCAGCAAATCATTTGTATTTTCAAAASAATTGTTTTTTGCCAAATGTATTTCATGTATTTTTGTTGAGTTATCATTTGTACTAACAATATCACAATCTGTATTAGCATTATTATCAAATTGTAAATTATTTATTTCCTTATTTTGGATTGACATACAGCAATCATTTGATTCTTCTTGTTCTAACTTGTTACAGTCAGTAATATTGTCAATATTGCATTCTTTCATATTTTCAGTAAAAGATTTCATACATATAAATTCATTGGTTTCTGACGATATCACTTTACCATCTAAAWTCTTAGTATTCTTATTTTCAACTTCACTTTTTATTGACTTCAGACATCCAATTAGCTCTTCATTTATTGTTCCTATGATAAAATTCAGTAAAAGTATTAAAATACTAAAAAGAAATGAAAACAGATAATTTAACACTTACCATCAATGCTAACTTCAGAAGAGCTAGTAGTCAGTAACTGATTTATGCGTTCAATTTCTTTTTTAGCTTTAAAGTAGTTTGAAGTTGCTAAGTCCATTATATCATGGATATAATTGTTAAGTAACTGTTGAAATTGATGAGTTAAAATAATAATTTCAGTAAAATATTTTTCTTTGTCTTTAAAATCTTCATCAACTGGCAAGCTAAGTTTTTTGTTTATACTAGTATACAAAGGTTTTAACCATGAAAAACAAGTATAACATAAATAAGCTCGGATGGATTTTATCAAGTTGTCGTTCAATTCAAAATATGCATATGAATCCAATGTTAAAGGTCCTAATTTAATAAATGGAAATAACAATAAAATAACTAGGTTTATTAAGATTAGTTTATTATGTACCTTTAGGAAAAATCCACATTATTAATCTTGAAAGGATTTTATTAAATTTTGAGTTGGAATCTGTATACACTGTTTCATAATTATATGCAAGTGCAAAACATTTTATTAAACGCTTTTGAGAATCTACAGTGAATAATCCAGTTTTTTGATACTGCAAGGCTATTAAACAGAACTGGCCAGCTATGAATACAGTGATCTATAAAAGAAAATTGTTTATAAGTAGATTAATAATAATAAAAATAATAGTTGTTTTATGTTTGTTCCATTTAATCATTTAAGTTCAATTTATTGTAATACAAGAAACTTTTTTTTAACAAACATTAGTTAGGTATGAAGAAATATAATTCTAATTAAAATATAGAAAAAAATCAGAGTATTTGTTTGGAAAAATTATTGTATGCTTTCAGTATTCCCACACATAAAAAGTTTAAAAAATGGTTTAGAATCAATTTAAATTCACCTATATGTTTTAATTAAAATTTCATGAACAAAGACCGATTTAATTGATATTGCAAYTTATTTTGCAGTCAACATTAACCAAATCTGATCAAATGTATGGTCGGTTTATACTTTGTATTGTATAATACCTATTAAATTTTATTTAATAATGCAATTTATTAAAATTTTCTACAGTTTAGCAATTCTTTACATTTTTTTGGGTTTAAATGAATACAATATTTAACAGATAAATTGATTGTATAAAAACGCTATAATAACATACCGAGTTTTCGTTATGAGCAGATAATCTGTGGTTGTTCCATAAACCATTATCAAGCATTTTATTACAATTCATTCTTGTTCAATATATATATATATATATTTATATATGTATAGGTACATATTCAATTTATTATCGTCAGTCTAATCCAATATGGATGATTTTAGTTTACTATTTATGAATTTGTATCAAGTAAAAAATATGTTAATTTAGATATAACTCCTTATTAACATCTTATTAAATTGTTTTAAATATGCGCCAATAACTAATGAAAACATAGAACATAATTTTTCAGTTTTGTTTTAYAAACCATATTTTAAGTAATAGAAGATTTAATTTTAATAAGCATAATTTGGAAATGTAATTATCAATTTAAATTCAAAAAAGTAACATTTTACTATTTTATTAAAATTAATAATCAAAAATTTAATGTTTTATACAACTTTTACATTTTTTTAGTACAATTTATTATTTTTAGGACAGTCATCCAATTTTAAAACGCAATTTTTGTGGGTTGTCAATGCAATTAAACCCGGTCATTAGTCATGAAACAAAGAAAAAAAATGTTATTTTACACAAACAAATAATTTACCATTGGCATCAAATGTGAAGCATCAGAAATGAATTCTGACCCTACTATTTTTAGTAATTTGTCATAATAATCTGGTTTATACTCTACATGTTCCAAAATATAATTTAAAATTGAAGAATTTTCCTTGTTTGGTGTAGCGCAAATCCAGTTTCTAAATATATTTTGAGTTACTTTGGGATCTAACTCATACATTGCTTCATGAACACTGGTCCACATGTTTAAATACTAAAAAAAATCACCACAACATTTTAAATACCTTGAATATTTAATATGTTAATTATATTAAGTAAATATAATATATCTTAAAGTAGCACACAAAAAATTAATGTATTTTCAAATTAATATTTAATATTTAATTAATTACAGCAGTTAGTACTATAAAAAATTATACAGTTAAAATTCAATGCAAAAAAAAATATTTGAGGAGATATTAGGGTATTTAGAATGGCCAAATGACGTCATTGGGCTGGACTCTTAACTTATACAAGTAGAAGTTTCTCACTTTACACAATGATATACATATCTAAAATTAGGTAATACAATTACAATATAACGCTAAGTTTATTTTAAATATTAAAATACAGTAATCCCTCATTATCCGTGGTTGAGTCAGCTATAACATTTTATCATTATTATATGAACTCTGTAGATAATTTATTATAGAAAATTGTAAACAATTTTAGTTATATCGTTTGGTATTTTTTATCATAACCTCTCATTCTGGCAGAGGTCTTATCATAAATTATGTACAATAATAATATTATATATTTGTGTTACCTCTTTAACATCAAAATATTTTCATGTTTGTTCTCGTATGATAAGCATAAATGGCCAATTTATTCTTAAATATCTGTTTTTTTTTTTTTTATTAGGATTGAGGCATCGACAGCAAAGGTCATTAAGGGGCCTATGGAACAGTGGGGGAGTGAACGGTTGGTTGAAACACTTGGATGTTTGGCAGAATTTCGAATGGGCACCTGTAGGTTTCTGCCATACTAGGGTGGGGGGCAGCAGCCTCTCTTTCCAGACAGCAAACTGCCCGGAAAGTGATGCCGCCCATGACCGGTATTCGAAAAGGTGATGGTGCGCGTCACAACTAATGCCTTAATTAGCTCGGGCACTACACCCCCAATATCTATGTTTATATGTATTGTATCCACATATAAGCATTACATTATGACTTATTT